CGCTGTGTCCAACCCCACCACGGGACTGAGAGAAGCCAAGAGCCAAAACGGGAGCCAAATTTCGCTGCGGGGAAGGCTCCTAAACCCCTTCAATTCCCTTTTTTTACGCCCTTCCCGTGTGCTGGGACAAGGAAATCAGAGCAGCAGCGCCCTGCAGAGGGGGGAACGGGGGTGCTGGGGCTGCCCTGAGCTCCGTGTGTGCCCGCAGGGAGCGAAGTGTCCCAGGAGAGCCTCCTGCTGCACGGCCCCTTCGCCCGCAAGCCCAAGCGCATCCGCACCGCCTTCTCCCCGTCGCAGCTGCTGCGCCTGGAGAGAGCCTTCGAGAAGAATCACTACGTGGTGGGAGCCGAGAGGAAGCAGCTGGCCAGCAGCCTCAGCCTCTCCGAGACTCAGGTACTGCCACCTGGCCGTGTCACACCTGTCCCAACGTGTCCCCTCCGTGTCCCAACCCCCGGGAGCGCTCGGTGCAGAGTGAGATCCCAGCCGGGATTGCCCCGGGCCCTGCTGCTCTTCCTGGGCTCCTCGGGGTGGTTTTGGGGGGGGGTTTTGGGTGTGTTACAGATGTTTTGGGGGGGTTTTGGTGTGTTACAGATGTTTTGGGGGTTTTTGCGTGTTACGGTTTGGGGTGTTCCAAAAGCTGGGGCGGGTTTGGGGTTGGGAATGCAGCTCTGCAATCGTCCCGCTCTCCCGAGCGTTTTTCCGGGGTTTTCTCGCTGGCTTTGGGGTGTTTTCGCTGGGACAAATTGATGGGTTTAAAAATCCATCTGGGAAAGCAGCAGCAGCCTGAAGGCTGCCCTGGAAAGCTGGAAAAGCTTTGGCTGAGCTGAGCAGCTCCAACAGCCGGAATTCAGGAGGGATGTGGAGATGGCGCTGCCGAAGGGCGCTGGCTTTGGATGAGACTTTCTGGGATCAGAACAGACATTTCCCGGGAATTTAAGTGTAAGGAGACCCAGGAGAAGCACGAGAGTGAAAGGAAAAACGAAACAGAGCTGGGGGAAAATGAAGGAGTCAGGACTGAGCATTTCTGTGTGTCCAGGCCTGGTGTCCCGGTTCCCAAACGCTCCAGGGAATTGGAGCTTTATTTCCTGGGATATTCAGCAGCTGAGGGAAGGAGAAAGTTTTCCCCAAATTCTGGTGAGGTGGTTTGGGCCTATGCGCTGAATTAATTGAATTTTTAAGCTCGGGTTTAATTGGGAAATAAAGCTGGAGCCGTGGGTGTTCCCAGTACCCGCCTGGCTCATCCTTGCCCAGGCTCTGCCAAACAAAACCTCCAGACTCATCCCTGCGAGAGGGGAAGTTCCTGGGAGGAAAATGAAAATGTCACCGGCACGGGGGACAGCGGGAAGGAGCAGCTGGGGATGTTGAGAAGCGGGGACTGAGCCCCCCAAAAACCCGAGGGTGTTTGAATGCCCGGGGTGATGCTGTCCCCGGAGCCGACACCGGCTCGGGTCCTTCCCGCTGATCTCCGGGCTGGAATGGAGGAAAAAAAAAAAAAAAGGGAAAAAAAAAAAAAAAGGACAAAACCCAAAGGTCAAAGAACAACCAGGAACTTGTCGGGGTGGAAAGGGCAGCTGTGGGATGCCCCGGGGGGAGCTGAGCCATTCTCTGGCCTTTTCCAGCATTGCCCGGAGCCTGAATGCAATAATTCCATTTATTGGGGAAATGCGACGGCATCCGAGCACAAATCCCAGGGAGATTTCAGGGTGCAAAGAGGCCACGGGGATATTTTGAATTTCCTTTTTTTTTGTGTGTGTGTGTGTGTTCGCTGCCTGTTTGGTAGTGTGGTGTCTCCATGATTTTGGGAAGCTGCTGTGGTGGCAGGGAGCGAGTGTGGGGACATCAGGAAACCGGGAAAAGCTCCCGTCCTTTGCCATGGATCCATCCGGGAATGGGCACCCGGAACCGGGGATTTCGGGCAGCTGGGAAATATTTTTCCCTTTTTTTTTTTTTGTGATTTTGGAAAAATAATATTAAAAAAAAAATCTGGTTTAATTACCTGGAGGGAAATAATCCCAGTGTGCCGAGGGATGGATATGGGATAGGATACACCCAGGTTTTGGGATTGGAGGAGAGTCCCTGGCTGTGCCAAACCCATGATATTATTACTAATATTATTATTATTAATTAAATATTCAGTGATAAATCCTGCACGAAATCAAATTTTTATGGGAGACCAGCCTGCATTATCCATGCCACCCATCCCGGTGTGACACAGGTGTGTTTCCACACCCAAACCCGCAGTTTATGGGGTTTTAGCAAATTTTTCATGGATTTTCCAATTCCCAGCCGGGGTTGCAGGTCCTGGCTGTGCTCGGCCCTGTTTCCCAGCTGCTTTTCCCTCTGGAAAAATGGAGTTTTTTCCCCCTTGCGCTGTTCCAGCTCGGGGTCCCCAGGCCAGGGAGCAACACCTGGGAAGGTGAGAAGGGTTCAGGTCCTGCCCAACCTCAGGAAATGCCTTTGGGATATGGGGTGGGGACGTGCAGGTGTTTAACCCCTTCCCAGCCGCTCTGTGTTAATTCGGGGTGAGATTGGAACAACAGGCCCGGGAACAGCAAAATCAAAGGGACTGGGGGACAGAACGCAGCTCCTGACACAAATTCAGGTGCTCCATAAGGGGGATCGGGGTGGGGAAGGTGCAGGGAGGGCTCTGGAGGGAATGTGGGATGGTCTGAGCAACCGGGGGGGGGTTGGGTGTGATGGGGACACGGGGGTGTGACCCAGGTGGCATCGAGCCAGGTGTGTGCTGGGGGGGTCCTGGAGAGGGTGGGGACACCGGGATCAGCAGGGATCTGTGGGGTCAGCAGAGATCCCAGCAATGTGGGGTCAGCAGGGATCTGTGGGGTCAGCAGAGATCCCAGCAATGTGGGTGCTCTGGGATCAGCAGGGATCCCAAATACTGTGGGATCAGCAGGGATCCCAGTGCTGTGGTGTTATGGGATCAGCAGGGATCTGTGGGGTCAGCAGGGATCTGTGGGATCCCAACACTGTGGGAGCTCTGGGATTGGGGTGCTGGGCTGGGATCTGAGGCGTGTGCTGGGAATGGGACGAGCAGGGGACACCGTGCTGTGTCCTGTGGGGTTGGGCATCCCGGTGTCCCCTCCTGGTTTGGGGGTGATTATGGAATTCCTGGATATCCCAGTGTCCCCTCCTGGTTTTGGGGTGATTATGGAACCCCTGGATATCCCAGTGTCCCCTCCTGGTTTTGGGGTGATTATGGAACCCCTGGATTTCCTGTGTCCCCTCTCGGAGCTGTCCCTGCAGGGACAGAGCAGCCCTGGCCAGAGACTCGGTGCCGGCTGGGAATCGCAGCCGCTCCGTAATTAATAATTAATAATTAACAGAGCGAATGCCTGGGAATCACAGGAGGAGAAAGATGCCCAGATAGATCTGGAGAGTGCCCCAGTCTGGCACTCAGAGCTGGCAGCTGTCCCCCCTTACCCGAGAACTGTCCCCAAAAACAAACCACAGAAATTTTGGGGCTTTTGGAGGAGCACGGGGACAGCAGGGACGGGCGGAGGGGCAGCGCTGCCACTGCGGGTGGTGGCACTTGGGGTGTCGCCCACCCTGTGACAGCGGGGCTGGTCCCTCTGTGTCCCCATCCAGACCCATCCCAACCCTCTCAGCCTTTGTGTCACCTCCTGGGGAAGCTCCTCACGGAGCCGCCGGATTTGAATTGTCCCCAGCGCGGTGATGGCAATGTCACCTTGGGGCTGATTCCCGGAGCAGAGCGGGATGTCCCGGTGGCCGTGGTGGCCCTCGGGGCACTGCCAGGTTGGGAATGCGCAGGGAAACACGAACGGGAGCCGTGTTTAGGGGCAGGACAGGGATTCAGGATCCATCCCGGCCCCGTCCCCACCCTGAGCAGCAGCTCGGGGCCGGAGGTGACCCTGGGGGACAGAGCCAGCCCCGGGATGCACAAACACCCGGCATGAGAGGGGTTAATTCGGGAAGGGATAAAACCCCGCGGTTTAAACCGATAATTCCTGGGGTCGGGATGAGGCTGGGAGGGGGCGGCTCATCCCCAGTGACCTTGTGAGCTTCCCACACTTTTCCCATCGTGGCTGCGGCAGGGGAGGGTCAGGGAGCTCCTCCAGCCTGGAAATATCCCCATTCCCAGATCCTGGAATCCCAGGAAACCTCACCCCACATCCCGGCAGGGTCAGGGAACATCCTCATTCCCAGAGTCGGGAATTCCGGGGAGCCTCACCCCACATCCCGGCAGGGCCAGGGACCTCCTCCAGCCTGGAACATCCTCATTCCCGGATTCCAGAATCCCGGGGAACCTCATCCCGCATCCCAGCAGGGTCAGGGAACATCTCCCATTCGCAGATCCCGGAATTCCGGGGAACCTCATTCCTCATCCCAGCAGGGTCAGGGAACATCCCCCATTTCCAGATCCTGGAATTCCGGGGAACCTCATTCCTCATCCCAGCAGGGTCAGGGAACATCCCCCATTCCCAGATCCTGGAATTCCGGGGAACCTCATTCCTCATCCCAGCAGGATCAGGGAACATCCCCCATTCCCAGATCCCGGAATTCCGGGCAGTCTCATCCCGCATCCCGGCCCACCCGAGCCGGGCAGAGCTGTGGCTCCCCCGCCCCGCTCCGGCACTTTAATCATTTTCTGCCTTGGTTCCTTTCCATAATTTAGGGATAAGGCAACTTCCCTGCTCCCAGAGAGCTTTAATTAAAGTTTGCAAAGCGCTCAGCGGAGCTGGAATGAAAGGCGGCAGCTCGGAATTGTTCCGGGAATGCCCCAAAGGTGGGAAAGGCAGTGGGATGTGACCGGGAGGGGTCAGGGGACCGGAGGAGCCTTCCCTGAGCCGGGACTGCCCGGATGGCCGGGGCTGGGCTGCGCAACTGGGAATGCCAGACCCCAAACTGGGAGTGCCGGACCCCAAACTGGGAATGCCGGACCCCAAACTGGGAGTGCCGGACCCCAAACTGGGAATGCCGGCCCCAAACTG